TTTACGCCGAGAATTGCGGGACAGCGATCGAGCCGTCCAATTTGGGCATGTGGTTTACGTTTTTTACACTATTTAATAACTTCGGTAAGTAATATCCGCTTTCGAGATCTAATTAAATTTCCGCAATCGCGCCCTCATCCCCACGCGTATTTCGACATCCCAGTGCCCATTTCACTTTACGTGACAATGGAGATGGTGAACTACTGCCAAGCCTTTTTCATAGACAACGACATCAAAATGTACGACTCCGAGGCAGATATGCCGGCGATGGCACGCACCTCCAACATGAACGGGGACCTGGCCTCGATCCAGTACGTCTTCTCGGATAAGACGGGCACGCTCACTCGCAATGTCATGGAGTTTCGGCGCTGCTCCGTTGCCGGCACGGTATTCGGGAATATGGAGGTGAGCGAGAACGCCCCACCCGACAAATCTGTGGTTGAAGGCCAGCCCCTCTCCGACCTTGCCAAGCAGGCCATCTCGCAGGGTTCAGGCTCAGCAGCATACTCCTTCATGCTTGTGCTGGCTGTGTGCCACACCGTCGTCATGGAATCGCTGGACGACGGGGGCACGGCCTACCAGGCTGAGTCCCCCGACGAGGAGGCTCTAGTCTCGGCAGCGGCCGATCTGGGCTTCCGCTTCACAGGCCGCGGGCCCGGGGAAGTGCGACTGAAGGTTGGTGGTGACGACAAGGCAGCCGGCGAGGAGTTGACCTTCCAGTTGCTCTGCACGATCGCGTTCACGAGCACTCGAAAGCGCATGTCTGTGATAGTGAAGACTCCTGATGGCAAAGTTCTCCTTCTGACTAAAGGTGCCGATAACATCGTGGGAGGACGGGCCAAAGAATTTCACAGCACGGACAGCGATGCCGTCGATGCTCACCTGCGTCTCTTCTCCGAGGACGGTCTGCGCACTCTCATGCTGGCAGTCCGCGAGCTGCCGGAGAGCGAGTTCGACGCTTGGTTCCAGGGCTACCAGAAAGCGGCAGCATCCATTCAGAACCGTACCGAGGCCATCGGTGCGGTGGCCGATGAAATTGAGCGAGACCTGGTTGTAGTTGGCACAACGGCCATTGAGGACAAGCTTCAAGAAGGCGTGCCAGACACGATCGCGGACCTCTTAGATGGAGGAATTAAAGTTTGGGTCCTGACAGGCGATAAGATGGAGACCGCTATCAACATCGGTTACTCTTGCCGGCTGTTGAGCTCGCGAATGACACTCCTGAAACTGAAAGATACCGGCGACCCGGCCACCATCCGTCGGCACCTGAAGAAGCTTCTGAATGCGTTGGACTGGCTGGTGGAGCGAGAGCGGAAACTCGGCGACACGCTTGGCCGGCGCATCATGGAGCGAATGACACAATGCGCGCGGCGGGGCCCCGGGGACTTTCGCTCCTCATGGCAAGCCGGCGAGGAGGATGTAAAGATCCTGGAGGATGAGGACCTAAAGGTGTGCTTTCGGCCTCAGAATGAGGCACCGCACTTCAAGGAGCTGACGAGTGACACTGTCGCACTGGTGGTGGACGGCCCGGCGCTGGCCCACGTGCTCGGTGACCCAGAGTACGAGGCCATGTTCCTGCGTCTTAGCAGCATCTGTCGTTCAGTCGTTGCCTGCCGCGTCAGCCCGGCGCAGAAACGCTTGGTGGTCCGTCTGGTCAAGGCGGGCGTCAAACCCATGCCCATCACCCTCTCCATCGGCGACGGTGCCAACGACGTGGCCATGATCCAGGAAGCACAAATTGGGGTGGGAATCAGCGGGAAGGAAGGGCAGCAAGCAGTGAACAGCGCTGACTTTGCTATTGCGCAGTTTCGGTATTTGAGGAGGCTGCTCTTAATCCACGGGCGGTACGACTATCGGCGCATGTCCAAGGTCATCCTCTACTCCTTCTACAAGAACATGGTCCTCACCTTCATCCTTTTCTACTACCTCTTCTTCACGGGGTTTTCTGGGCAGTCCTTGTTCAACGACCTTGTCTACAGTGCCTTTAACTTTCTATGTGCTATGCCGATCATCTGGTACGGTGTCTTTGGTGGTTTCTCATTTCCCGAACCGTGAGCTTGCCTTTCAGTGATGCTCGTAGTACAAACACGTTTTTTTTCCTCCTTTCATCCCTCCTTTCTCCCCTCTCAGTGTCGGCTTCTTTGACATCGACATCTTCCCCCAGCACGTGCTCGCCTGGAAGTGGGTCTACATGTCTGGTCGCGACCACATGGACCTGAACATCCGCCTGATGGTCCAATGGTTCGTGCAGGCCCTGCTCGATTCCGTTCTCATTTTCTGCTTTAGCCTCTTCGCCGCCAGGAGCGCCCACGAGATATGGGGCTGGGACGGAGACGTGGCGGGGCTTTACCTCTTCGGGACAACGGTCTACTCGGTCATGCTCTTGGCCGTGTCCTTGAAGGTCGCCACCATCACCTACACCTGGACTCGCGTCAGCTGGTTCTTCTTCATCGGGTCCCTGCTCCTCTATCTCATATTCATCTTTTCGTACTCCGCCATGCCCGCCTCCACAACCTTCTACAACGTGGCTGCACACATGATGCGCATGGCGCCCCACTGGTTGCTTGTGCTCCTGGGGTCCGTAGTATCGGTGGCTTTGGACCACTTCATAATTTCAGTCAAGCTTGCCTTTTCACCTACACCAGTCGATGTTGCGGTTGAGAAGTCACGAATTTTGGCAGGTTGTAGTAATACCCGTCTTTCTTCGGCCCCATTCAGACACGCAACGGGACTATCCAAAAGGACCGCCGTATCTACTAGAAATGTGCAGAACATCACCTTTGGAAGCGAAGAGGAGGAGATTGATCCTTCAAAAACTCAGACAGGGGAATCAACTTCCAATGGATTCATAGCCAAAAACGTTTAAGGGATGGCGTGTGAGAGCAATTACACGCGAGTCTTTTCGTAGGGCTACCGAGATCCATATACATATTGAATGAAGCTAGGGGGGAATATGAAAGAACAACCATGTCTGCCTAACAAGTAAGATTTCGCCTTCAGTATGAATACCATTCGATTAAAATAGAAAACAGGCGTGCCATGCTATAACCTTTCTTTTCTCGCCTGACATGTTAGTCAAGGTTAAAATGTCGCGGCGAACATTTTGCCGAGTGTAAAGTGCGAACGATGCGAACATTTACTCCGCATCAGGCACAATATTACAACAGGTTTGTGATCAATGTGCCGTTTTTAGTAAATTTTCGAAAGGTTGGAGACGCGGGGTAAAAGGAGTGAATCATGCAGAATCTTTTGCCGCCGGCGGAGGGACTCTCGGGAGCAGCGATCTCAAGCGGACGCTAGGCTTTTCCTTGCGCCGCGCTCGCAGCTCTGGCTACCTTTTACATCGCGGTCACGACATGGGTGCGACATGTCTCTCCCTCATGCACACGCGCTGAATATTTTTCGAATGTGTTCGGGCTGGGATAATTATCAGCGTTCTGTTTAAGCTTCCCTTTGATCGCCCGATTTCCCTCAGCGACGGAAAGGCTGCCAATGATCGCACCACAGAAAGGGGGTTTACCGAAAGCAGTTTGTCTATTCGTCGGCCCGTCTACCTGGAGTCAAATATTTAAAGCTCATCTCGTTGACCTAACACACCACATCTCATTAAGGAGCCGAACTTGGTCGTGGGACACGTCAAGGTTTGAAAGTAATTTCGCCCGGGGCAGCACACGCCGCTCCCCCTTCTTTCTTCGCTCGCTTCCGCCCTCAACCATGAGCACAACCGGCTGCAAACCCAGCAGTGCTAGCAGCACGCCGCGCCGCCACACTCCCAATCGTAGAGTAGTTCGGACACTGAACGGCCAGGAGCTGAGCATCAGCATCCCGGATAACTTTCACCAGCAGCACATGCACATCACACACCATCTGCAACAGCAGCACTGTCAACAGCTCCAGCAACCCGGCAGTGCCAACTCCATGATGGTTTCGCCGGCGCTTCCGAGCCCTAATTTCAATAATTTTATGCTAACACTGTCGCCTTTAATGCAACTGAGTTCTCCGCAGCCTACCATGTCACCGCGGGACGAAATGGGAGTGTCAAGCAATGGGGGTATTCCCTCGAGCATGTACGTCGCTAAAGTGCCCGAAAGACTTTTGTCTCAGCTGTGTGAGGGTGCGTGCACTGTAATATCAATGTGTGCGGACAGAGGGCCGTGTTCTCATCCTCGTGAGATTCGCAGTCGCCTCGAGGGATCCTAGCTCCTCGTGCAGGACAAACACTCATGCAATGTTGCAACCCAGTTTCCTATCCCCATTAGTCAGCGCATGTGTGTGCGTGTTTTCGCTTTTTGGTAATATACATATTTGCATGTACGACAAAGGATTGCCGCGCTTATAGCAAAAGATGACCTGATTTCAATGCTCGCACCCTTTCTGTCGGCAGGGCACACATGGTCGGCACCGCGGATGAGATCCAGTTTGCCTTCCAAACTGGAAACGAGGTGGCCACGCCAACCGTGACATCCACCACGAATAATAATACTGCCTCGCTCAATCTTGCCCCCCCGCCTCTGCCGACGCAGGCCCTTATGCCACCGCCCCCACCACGCGTTCGCCCTCCGCGTGAGCAGGAAGGGGATCTTGAGAGTCAGGGGCATGAGGGCAGTCGACACGAGCGAAAAGGTCTCGACGATTTCCAGGGGCTAGAGCAACATGAGCAGCAGCAACAGCTTCTGGAAAGAGAGGAAGAAATTGACCCGCACAATCAGCACCTGCCGGTGGCGGCCCCCGAGGCCTTGGGGGGCGGGGACGGCGCCCTCGCTGACAAACTCAACTTGATGCACATGGTCATGGTCGACGCGGAATGCATTATGGAAGGAAAGGGCTCGCTCATGGGCCCGACTACCCCCACAATGCAAGGGGTGGGGATGGAGAGCTATCCTCGCTCTTTGGTGATGGGTTTGGGGGCAGGCGAGGCCTTCGACGCCTCAGACTCGGATGAGGGGGAGAAAGGGGAATGCGAGGACGGTGGAACGGGGGAGGGAATGTTTGGAAAACATTTGGAGCGGCGGGTGGTACAACTTTACGGGTATGGGGTCGAGAATGAGGAAGATGAGGAAATATACGAGGCGGAAGGGGGCTATATCTCCTCATCTTCTGAATGCACGAAAACAACCTTGGAGCATCTCCAACAAGAGCACCGTGGTGCCCACAACCATAAGCACCCTAATCATTCGCCTTCACCGGCTGTTCCTGGTATCAGTCGTAGCCAAGGACAAGGGCCCAGCGCCGCAGCAATGGCTGCTGCTGCTGCCGCGACCTCAAGCCGCTCCCGGTGCAACTTGAGTTCCCAGAGGAGGAACCAATCATCAAATAACAGTCATCCCGGCGGCTCATCGCGCCCTGTCCGAGTGGAGGCAGCCATCCGCCGACAGAACCCCAGCCAGGAGGCACGTCGGTCTCCGCCGCTAAATGGCTCTGGAGGGGGAACGCCGCAGGGCCGTGGGACCTCCGGTCTGGCTGCAACGAGGAGCAGCAAGAAGTGCAATTGCCGGAAATCAAAATGTCTGAAACTGTATTGTGAGTGTTTTGCGATGGGTGCTTACTGTCGAGACGACTGTGGCTGTTTGGACTGCAATAACACGCTTGCTTTCGAGCAAGTACGTACGCAGGCTGTGGAAAGTATCCTGAGTCGCAATCCCCACGCCTTCACCGAGAAGATCCAATTCATCGAAACCGGGGCAACTGGCCCTGTGGCCATGGGTACTCATCGCCGCACGAGCTTGCCCGGTGGACAATGCAGCGTGGGTGACAATGGGGAGACGACCATGATGGGAGGCCTCCAAGGAACCGCGGGAGGGGCATTGCCCACCGCTGCCCATGTAAGAGGATGCAACTGCAAAAAATCGCTGTGTATCAAGAAGTACTGTGAGTGCTTCTTTGCAGGCGTGTACTGTGGTGAAAATTGCCAGTGTGAAGGGTGTCAGAATAATCCTGAGGCCTCCGCGGGTCTTCACGTGAAGAAAAAACGTGGCAGCACGACTCACGGAAAAGGGCAACACCCGAAGCAGGTCCAACGCCGACAGCAGGCATCCCCATCCCTGTCCGACTCGCATGACCTTACCCCAACTCGTGTCACGGGAACGGCGGTGATCTGAAGACAATGAGCAGTCTGTATGTCAGAAGAGAGAGCGAGGGATAAGATATGTGACACAGACTTTGTACATCATGTCATTTTGGGAACATGAATGAAAAAAGCGACGCTACGGGTCCAAGAAGGACGCATTCTAGCGCAGTATACATATCTATAGATATGATCAGAAAGTAGGGAAACAATGTTTGGAAAATAGGCAGCCTATTTTGAATCGAAGCGGGAAAATACAAGCGTGTAGTTGCTTGCAGCATGTCATTGGATAAGGAAACCGCTATGGAACCAAGGAGAAACAGTGTGCAGACCGCAGTGGAGGGAAGATCAGTAGAAAGGGTACTACTTAGTTTGATCTATACACGAAAGCAAAGGCGAGACGCCACGTAATCCTTTATTTAGAAAAGAAGCACCTCAACCACCTTTCATTGGTAAAAGTTCAATATTTTGATGCTCTCAGCATTCTTCTTTTCCGGGCGCCAGGTCTTTGCGGGCAAATTTTTCTTCATCAAAAAATGAAGCTTGCACTTGCCGACCACCAAAAAAGCGACCGTTCATGGCCACATACGCCTTTACCGCGCTTTCCTGACGTTCAAAAGCAACGAAAGTTCGAACACGTTCCTCTTCAGGGTATGAATTATCATTTACCTTAAAATATGTGAAGAGGGTGGGAAGCGTGGTTGAAACAAATGAAGCAATGGAGAAGCTTACAATACGTGCAACTTGCTGAGACAGAATCCGAGTCAAGAGATCATACATGTCACTATACAACTGAAGCGCAAAGGTATCTGGCCATGTACAAATTTGTCCTACAAAGACATGAGTCTTTTTTCCACTGTATTTCACTCTCTTTACCTCAAAGACCAAGCACTCTGACACGGGCCCATGCTTTGCACATTCCTCCGCTGTCTCGCCCTGTAGGTCATCGTCCACCTCTCCAGGTCCCACCATATTTTTTAGCAGGACGATTTTTGTCGGATTGCTGAAGAGGCCGCGCTTTTTCTTTTTGGGTTGCGGTTGCTGCTGCTGTCTGTCAACATCTTGGGCTCTAGAATCGAGATATGAAATATATCAATCTACGAAGACAGAACAACCTATCTGCAAAGAGCTTTGTCAAATCAATGCAACCACTTTGTAATCTTCTTGGGAAAATGCTTATGCAATTGTCATTTTTACATAATGGGTATGCAACATATTAATCATTGCACTGTGCTCCCAGAATGTGTCGTGAAGCACCACATAACTCTCTTTAAAAAAAAAGTGTAAGAACAATTTTCTGACACGCTTCTTGAATGGAAACAATCCTTACCCTTTGCCGCCCTGTGCAGGTCCACTGATCACTCCCTTTCCGCCACCTAGAGCACGGGCTTTGATGGCTTCTGTGATACCTTGCCGATCCCGGCCCAGGCCCGCGCCTTCCTGGTAGCCTAGCTTTTTCATCAGAGCAGCGCCAATCCCCTCCGTCCTGCCTCTTGGCTCTACTCCACCACCGGTGGCGATCGCGTCCTATATGCGATTTGTCCCGATACTTAGATGCATTTCTCAGCCAGTAAAAAAACTCAGCAGTACTGGAATGAATGTGTACATAAAAAAGGCCTCAGTAGCATTCCAAACTTACTTGTGCATCGGCAAATTGAGTTTTTCCTGATTCGAGCGCAGACAAAGTGTCAACGCACCTATTCTTGTCCTCCACAGGCGCACCCTGTCGAAAAAGTTTTTATGATAAGGAAGAAATTGCTGACTTACCGGTTAAAAGGACATTTCATCCCGTGCATCACGCAGACGAGATTTTATCCTTGGGCTTAAACAATTACCTTGGTCATCCAAGAGGGCAAATTGCTTACACCACCACGCCCACGCCCGCGTGCAGGCATTATACTATCCGGCATTGGATTGTCCCCATTACTTGGCAACGATTGGAGGCCTGCGAGGGTATTCCGACCGCGGCGCATTTCTTCTTCGCGTTCCTTTCGAAACTTTTCATATTCCCTCTGACGCTCTTCGTCCTTTGCCCTGTTTTCACGCTCCTGCAGTAGAAGACAGTGTACATTTACTTTCCTCTTTTTATGACCAAAGTTTGAGCCGGTAGTACCCTTTGCAAAGCTGAGTGGGCACGGGAATCTAGCCGCTAATTTCTCTTCAGAAGTTGATTAACAGACAATAAGATATCACTGTAGAATGCTCCACGAAGGATGAAAGATCTTTCTCCCAAATCCATAGCGACATCCTCACTCATACCTTGCAAAACTCCATATAATCATTTGGTCTGGCTGGATCGTAAGCCTCTCCTTTAAAGGCTAATTCTTGCAAATCTGCGCAATCCACGTGAATAATCGTGTCTCCTTTAGATGTCGCTGAATTTCTACTATGGCCATGGATCTGTTCGTAAATAGATAAACTAGTGAACAAAACATATCTAGAGGGCCGAAAATTGTGGACTTCTCTGGCGTACAAGCCCTACCTCTATGGGCTCGTGAGTGACGGCAGTCCGAGGGCGGGTCTGTGGTGGAGCCATCAATTGAGTAGGGCGTGCTGCTAGTCGCTGGGGCGGAAGCATTATACTTGAGGTGGAACGAGGTTTGAGAAAGGTCGCCGCATTCTTCTTGTGGGATGCCTTTGTGGACGCCTCCGCCTTTTCACCTGCCGCGGGCGGGAGGTCCCCGAACAAATCCATGACACCGTATCGCTTCTCTTCGTCAAACTGTGTCAGAATGCATGCCGTTTAAATGAGATTCTATTTGATGAAAACGCGTGGAAGGGCAGTGCAACCTCCCGTCTGTGGAAAGCCTGCCGCCCTCCTGGGGCCTCGCCCACTCGCTTCTTGAAGACGCTGGACAGGACTGGCGCGGCCGTGGGTGGGCACTGGAATGAAGAAAGTCTTGATCGGGCTTGACAGACATACCGTATGCACTTAAAGTCACCGCGCAAACCCCCGGATGCTATTCTTTTCGTCTCTCGATCACTCATTTTCTGCGAGATAGTACTGTGCTGTCATGCAACCTCCTCTTCCTCGGGAGTTTCTCCCTGTATTATTGCAAAAGCTCCCACGTTTTATACCCATAACTACGTTATCTCGGAGGCTAACTTACTTGCTTTCTGTGAAATATGTATGCAGGCGGAGAGGGCTGTGAAATTTGTTTGCCACATTCGTCACACGATCAAGTGGTCTGGTTGGGGACACCACGATGTGTAGAAGCAATGTTTGGCGGATGCCTTTTACATGTGCCCGAGCACAACACCCAGGAGTATTCTCCTCGGCACCAGCATTAATTGTCAAGCGACAAATCAGTGCACAAGCGCCTCATCATAGGGTTTGTGGAATGGTCATATTGCATCGCCATGGGGAGCGCGCACCTGTGGTTAATTTTTATGACAACGGTTCGGACGCTGCCGTCGCTCAGGAGGAGCAAAAACGATGGTTGCGACGCCTCCCAAATGAGGAAGATATGGCTTTCCTCAATTTACACTTCCCCATACAATCTGCTGCAACCCGCATTCCACACGACGTTATAACTCGGCCCTTCGGTTGCTTGACGGGGAAGGGGCTAGAGAGTATGCGGAATCTCGGGCGCAGTATTAGAAATTTGCATCCTGAACTTTTGGGTGGTGGCGAAATAAAAAAACACTCGGATACGCCAAAAAGGAGCGAGTCGGTAAAAATCAAAGTGAGTAAGGAAGCAGAAGTAAACTGGCGGAATTAATTGGGTGTCATATCTACAGGGGAGGGAGGGAGAGGACTCGGCTTCCTCTCACCACTTGGCCTCAAAGCGAAATAGATTGGGTCTTTTATCATATGCCATCGTAATTGAGATGCTTCCTTTTTCAAATCTTTCATCGCAGAAATCATCTCTCATTGGTCTTTTCAGGTTTTTTCCTCGAACTTCTCTAGGACTCAGCAAAGCGCGCAAGGGCTGCTTCACGGACTCGGAGCCCAGCAAGTTGCCCATAGTGGTCAAGTACCGGTTTTTGTCCGAGAAGAAAACGATTGCACGATTCACATGTACGATAATAAACCCGCTGGTATTCAAGACGAAGTCAACAAGGTATTGACTTCCTCTTCCTTTCTTTGCCGCCAAGAAGAACAAGAGGTAAGGCGCAAAGATGCCGGGCGTACAAGACGCACTTTTTCATTTACAATGCAGTATCAATCATTCCTTCCAATATTTTCACGACTGTTGTGAAACTGGAAGGTATGTCCAGATACGGGTGTGTATTTTTTATGTGAATCTTACGACTTCCACAGACCTTGAAGTCCGATCTTGTCAAACTTATCCCCAAATTTACCAAAGAGAACTTCAAATGGTGAGTAACATGCTTATGTTTCAAATGGGCGAAACTTATGCACTTACTAGTGGCCCTCCTGCTTTCAGTGTGGAAATTTTGCTTTATTCTTCTTGTCCTCTCGTCCTTATCCACGAATTCACGTCTACTTGGTTATCGGTACGACATGATGATGAACAGTTTGTCATTCACGTTTCATCCTTCAGCGATGTCGTATTTCTTCCTGTCAAACTCCGAGCCTCTATTCGCATCTCGCGATCATCGCTTACTTGTTTTGTAAAGCGGGACCTGTGACTTTCCTTAGTATGTCCACTTACCTAGTCCTGTGGTAGTGACACACTCTCCTCGGCTGCATACCAAACTCAGGATGGAAGCAGCAGATTTTTTTTGGTGTTGGCCTGAAGACGTAGACATGCCAACGAGATTACAAGTAAGTCTTCGCGTAGAGGCAAATGTATGGGTAATGAGCACGCAACATGCCGATGAGTTCTGGGAGCCGCGTTTCCTTTCTAAATTTTGAAAAGAGTTTTAATGTTTCCTCCTTTTGCTCTAATGTGTAATATTGTGTACGACACAGAAACTTCGACGGCCGACGCTTGAATACGTAGCTTGGCGATTCAAACAATACTACTCTCACCGCCCATTATTGACTCTGGTCATTGCCCCCCTTTTGGAGGAAGTCCTGCGTACGCTGCATGGAATGAGCCATGCGCACTTCGAGCGCAGGGAAAGCAAGGAAAGAAATTTGGATGTCAATGTGTACAGCGCCCATGACGTGACCCTGTTGGCATTTCTGCACGCTTTGGATTGGCCTCTCATACACGATCTATCGTGGTGGCCGCCTTTCTGCTCTGCTATCGTTTTCGAAGTGCTCGAGCCAGTCACTCCTGATCGACAACAAGAACATCGGGTTCGTGTTCGTCTCGACATGGTTGATAAAAGTTTTTCATTGTTTCTACCTGCGGTTAGGAGTCATGCTTTGAATGCAAACATCGCTGATGAGGATAATGGTATACCTTTGTCAGAATTACAAGAATGGGTTGACAAGCATGGTCCTGTGGGCTTGATAATGAATTCTACGAGCCAATCGTGTTGAGAGTGGATTCTAACACGTAGCTGACAAATGCAGATTCGATGTGTGTATGTGATTGAAGGTGTATCGTATAAAGGAAACTCGACTGACTGCTTGTGCTCCGCTTAACAGAGTTCCCTATCCGCATGTATTGCTCCTTCGATGGACTTAGCTTGCTTTTACCTCCGAAATTGCTGTCAATTGCCACCGTCATCTGGCCGCTGTGGCTGCTCTTCCCGCAAGTCAGTACTGGCACCGTTGATCCAAGAAGACACGAGAGACAGAACAGGAAATGGTAAA